AAAAATTAGCTATCAGCACCCAGTATAGAACCTTTCAATATTATTAAAAACTCTATTTGAGCCACTTACCCCTTTTCTTCATCCTTCAGATTTGGGCTCAAGCATCACTCTCGGGGAAGTCTTCCCTGACCTTCCTGACCAGGTCCCACCTCCTCCCTCAGTCCCATCCCTGCATGATCAGCTCTCCCATCAACAGAAGTGTCTGCTCCGTAGCATTTATCAGGCTTGAGATTGTACAAGTACCCACATGATTATTTGATTAACATCTGTCTAACCTACCAGACCGTAAGCTTCATGAGGGCAGGGACATTGCTACGTTCACCAATATATACCTATTAATCTAGCAGATGTGCTGGCACAACCCAGTGCTTAATGATCCATCTGATGAATAAATGAGGTTACCAGCGCATGCCAACCAGTCTATGCATACCTTGAGCCAAAGAATTCCAAACATCCTCTGAGATAAGACTTCAAGGAACCGCGGGGGGGGGGGGGGGGGGGGATGGTTGAAAGGTCAATTCACTTACTCAGAGATGCTACTAATAGGAACTTATGGAAAATGAGAACTAACTAGAATCACAAAACTAAATAGTGAAAATTAATCACAACATATTGACACCTCGATTTATAAAAACTGGACTTTTTTGTTAGAGATAAAAAGCCTAAAACTCCCATGCCCAAAAGGCAGAGGGAAAAAAGTGAAATATACATTTGGAATGAAGAATGGCTAATTCGTTCAGTATTTGCTTTTCCAAAATTATTTCGAAAACTCATGCAATGCAATCACTTTTTATATAAGACAAACTGCACTCTATCAAATTATTCTAATTTCTTTATACTGAGAACAAACAACTCCAGGATATCTTTTTAAAGATACATTTCCACCTCTGGAGATCCTTATCATTTCAACAAGAAATGATTTATTCTATTTCTAGTTATTTATTCTATTTCTTCTACTATAGGACACACAGGTTAAATGTGTGTCCTATAGAAGTTATTTATTTATTTATTCTATTTCTTCTACTATAGGACACACAGGTTAAATGTGAATAAATAAGACAAACAAAAACTAGTGCACAAAGAGGGATGGAATGGCCTGCTTACTATGACTGCTGAATGACCGACAGCTTCAAGCATTTACCCTAGCAGTTGAAATCAGTTAATCATTCATTGTAACTGGAGCAGAATATAATTAATTATGTTAGCTTGACTGATTCAAGTTTAATTCCAGTAAAAAAAAATCATTATAAAAACTCATTGTAAATATAGGCTATTATCATTAATGGTTGTTGAAATAAAAATGAGTTTCTGTATGAATTTGATTCATACTTAAAAAAACATTTATGGGAAATTTCTAACATAAACACAGGTAGAGAAAATAGTACCTGTATAATGAATTCCCAAGTACCCATCACCCAGTTTCAGTAATTATCAACTCATGGTCATCTGTATTCCCACACACTACCCAGCTCCAACTCCTCAATTATTTTTAAGCAGATCCTAAATGCTGTATTATTTCATTTTTAAGTATTTCAATTTGCATCTCTAGTAGGGCTCCTTGTAAAAATGTAACCACAACACCATTATCACACCTAAAAATAACCGTAAAACTCCTCAAGGTCGTCAAAAATATCCAGTTATTTCCAGATTTCCCCAATGGTCTCATTTTTTTTTTACGTTTATTCAAATCAAGATCCAAAGAAGCCCATAAATTTTATTGGTAGATATATGTCTTCAGTCTCTTTTAATCCATCTTTTTTTTCCTTGCAATTCAGTTATTGAACAAATAGGGTTATTGGTCCTATAGTCTTCCAGAGTCTGGATTTTGCTGATTGAATTTCTTGTATCAATTAACGTGTTCCTTTCTTTTCTGTATTTCTAGTAAAGAGGTGAACAGTTACGGAGCTCAATCAGCATCAGATTCGACTTTTGGTCGAATCTGCTTCATAAGTGGTATATGTATTTCCGTTAAGAGGCACAAAATGTTTGCTCTCTCTCTGTGGGGTTAGCAGTTACTGGTGATCATTGCCTAGATCCATTAATTATTGTGAGGTAAAACGGTGATATCCTACCCTTCCTCTTTAACTTCTTAGCTGGCTATATTTCTTTAAGAGCATATTCCAAAGGTAACTATGATTTTGTACACTCTTAAACATAACATGAGCTTCAATTTCTTGCAGATGTTATCCTTATTGATGCTAAAATTATCTCAGCTTTGGCCAGTGGGAACTTCTTTAAGGTGCCTCCTGAATCTTTTCTGACAAATTTCTAATGGCTATTTGCTTTCTGGTATGACAGAGTGGTTTTTAGGCTCTTCTTGTACATTTCTTTCTCTAGACCTGGAATAAGTCATTCATCAAGGAAGTCCCGTTTCTTTGAAGAAAATGGCACTTAGAGACCACAAATGGGGTACTATGTTTGACCTTCACTTCAATTATGTTCAAAGCTAATAAAGTCAATCAAGCAGGAGTTTTCTACTGTTTCTAATAAATTCATGTAGCTGCATATATGTGAATTTTTCAGCATGGGGCTCTCAGATTTAAAAAAAAAAATTATATAATATGCTGGGGTGCCTGGCTGGCTCAGTAAAGCATGAAACTCTTGATCTTGGAGCCCCATGTTGGCTATAGAGATTACTTTGAAAAAAGCATATAATATGCTAATGGTGGAAGTACTCTTATATGATAATGGTAGGAATGTAACTTGGTACCATCTCTCTGAAAGACAGTATCATAATTTTTATCCATGACCTCTAAAAAACCTTTAGCCCACCAATTCCACTTTTAGGTATTTATTTTATTAGGCTTAGGCATTTTCCTTGCAGGGCTGTTTAAAATAATAAATGACATAAAAACCTAAATAGGCAAACAAGAGGGAACTGGTTAATTTTAAGAATGTACAGTAAGTACATCCACAGAATAAATCATTAGAATTAAACATTTATAGTCATTAAAATGATGTAGATACTCTATCAGTGTATTGTTAAATAAGAAGGGTGGGTACAGAAGTGTTCATAGCATGCCTTTAACCACATGCATAGAAAGAAGTCTTATAAGCTATATCCCCCAATCTGAACATTCTCATTTTCTACTGCTGGCTTAGGACTTGGCTTCCCTGGGCCTGACAAGTCAGATACGACTTCACCTGCTTTCCAGTTTCAAAAATTGTGTTCTTGTTGTCTTTGCTTCAGTATTCCTTATCCTTGTTGGATTATGCTCTTTTCTTTCCCCAGTCACTGTGGCTTTAGTGGAGATTTTAGGAAAGAGCGGAGGCTATAAATATTTTATTCAACCCTCCATTTTACCTAGCATCCCACTGCTTTTTATGGGAGAGAACACACACTCTGAAGAGCTTATCAATTATAAAATATATGAATTTCTACTGAAAATAGTGCACACATGTGTATCTCTTAAACATACAAATAATATCGCAATATAGCACACAAGGGCTCATTTTGTATCCTAATAATATGAAGGGCTGGATACAGAAACAATCATGGAAAAACTAAACTGGTAATAAATGGAAAAATAATTAAATAGGAGTTGTTTTTAATCAAGAACATAAAATCAGAAATGTCAAAACTGAAGCTGAGCTCTGTGGGGCAAACTGACCATATTTATTACTTGGAAGTCAAACTGTTTTTCAAGAAACTACAATTTATTGCAAATTTAGACTTCTTTAAAGATGAATTGTCCCTGGCAGCTGCTTTAAAACCATATGCAACTTGCTCTCCAGTTTGGGGAGACACTGACCTTTTAATTCTGGATAATGAACATCATCTCCTCTTATACCCCTGAAGAAGGGCTGTCCAGTTTTGTAATGCATTTACTACACCGACCCTCTTAACACTTTCCATTAGAAATACTTAACAAGAAATTAAAAGCCTTTTCAAGCCCAAGCACCCACAACTGCACAGCTGCCAAGGACACGAATCCCATCTTGGGAGAAATAACAATCATTATTCATCTTAAAATGTACCGGCCACACGGAGAGAAAAAGAACTTAAAAGTAGTTTGCTCAATTTGGAGAAATCTTCAGTTTTCACTAGCCTGTGAATATGATAAAAACGAAGTACCCAAAGCACAAAGTGCTGAAGACTCCTCAGAAAATAAGACTGACCAGATAAAGTCATCTTTCCCTTTAAAAAGTCCTTCCCCAAACAGTATGATCTTTCCTGAAGCTACGGGGAACACCAAGTCCAAAAATCATAACAGTTTATTTTATTGATTTTGTTTTGTGAATTGTTGCTGGAATTTAGAAAACTCAGGGGGAAAAACATTCTAAACAAATTTAAGTATTCAACGGTAAGTAAAAACAACAAATTTGCAATCATCTGAATTAATTAGTATTAATGGCTTCACAAACAAAATTAAACATGATATATACTTTGATGTTTATAAATCAAAGTAATTAAAAAGTATCGCATATTTACTCATTTAACAAATACTATTTATTTATAGCTGGTCTTGATTTAAAAAAAAGAATTTGGGGCAGATTATTCTGTGCAGGTCACCAGTCTGGGCTTATAACTCTTTTTCTAGTTAAGACTGAAATGTCAGTTCTCTCCTTATTTGCTATGAATTTGATAAAACAGGAAATGTGGCTCCGAATTTTAAAACGTACTACTACAATAGACTTTTAAAATAAATGAGGTACTTAGTATTCAAAACTTTGCAAAATATATGTAAGACCACAGTTTCCAAAATGACTCTGCTCATCTACCAAGACGAAGTCTTTTAAATATTTTGAATATTGATTAGAAGTAGTGTAAAGCAGTTGAGATCAGATGAATGTTTTTTTAAATGATCATTGTATGTAGATACAGAGATATCTAATCATACATTTTTTTCATAGACTCCTAACCTGGAATAAAACTATCTGTATGTGTGTGGAGTCAATCCTCTCTCTGCTTAATCATCTCTCAGTTAGTAAGGAAAAGCTGCCTTGCGGGAAGCTCCTTTTGATACTTCTCAGAGTTCAAAGAGTATGGAACCTTCAAGTTGATTTCATCAAGTCTATTTATTAATGCATTTCAAGTTTCAAAAAACCTTACATCTTTGCACAATACTTTATTTTTTGCAATTTTTAGTAAAAATTTCCAAAGTGAACAAAAAGATACTGTATAAAACACAGTGGACATTAAACTGACAGTAGTATTAGATCTCATTTGTCTTGATCCTTTTGTTTTTACCACATTTTGATTTGCAGTGGAAAGAGTTCAGTGCACGTATCTCTTGTCAGAAAACATTTAACTTAGACTCAAAATAAAATAGGGCAGTGGGTACCTGCCAAAACCCTACCACAGGATAACATTACAAGCAAAAAATGTACATGTTCCAAAGTCTACCACACTCAAGAAGTTACTAAGAACTCTTGCAGAATAAAAGTCACCATTTTAGAAATGCAAACCCACTTCCAACCTTTGCACAGTCCAAAAACAAAGGCATTTAAATGATTTAAAAGCAATTACATACATATCTACCTACTTGTTGGTTTAGAATTATTTATAGTCTATCTGGGGTTTCATGTACAAAATTTGTCTCTAAATCATGTACAAAAAGCTGTATTTTGAAAAAAGTCACCACATACTGTACAAGTTTACAAGGAAGAGATCCCATTATTTTCTCTAGCATTTTTGGCCTTGCTGGCTTGCGTCACATTATGAGAATGATTGTGTAAACCTTATACTCTTAAGAAACAAAAAGGAAAAAAAAAGCCAAAACACAAATCTTTTCAACGTTCTCTAAATTTGCCTCCTATGTGAAGCCAGAAAAATCATAGCTGTTTACTTCTAATTTAAGTGATGTAGTTGGAAAACAGAAGCAATAAATATGTCACAAGCTTAAAACTTTGTTGTAATGCCCCCTTCCATTCCTGCATAGCAATAAGCCTGTTACTACATTAAATGCTTTTGCTTTCTTTCTTTAAAAAGCCAGTTATTTACATCTGTTTAAAAAATAAATTTGGAATGGGACATTGTGCTGTTTCACCTTCACTGTTGTTAAAATATTTTAAGGAAAAAAATGTCAGAAGGCCTATCTACAATTTTAACTACTAGTTGAACAAATCACCCTTCTTTAGTGGTTACCAATGATCAATGATAGTATGCTGAAAAAACTGTTCTAATATTTTGATAAAATAAAAGACACAGCTTTTTCTTTTCCATATCAGAGAAAACCAAAAACACAATTAGCATACTTTAGATATATGGAAAACACAAATAACAGGCTACAAATAAAAAAAAAATCATTTCATTGACATAATTTCTACCAAAGCGTGATTAAAATTTCAAAACTGGAATTGAATTAGAAAGTTTAAAATAAGCAGAAATCAGACATTTACGTAAGAACGGACTCTGAAGTAGTATGCTGCGCACATCCAGTTTGCACACTTAACTGTGTCCTTCAACGTAGTCACTCCTATGCTCTTAGCAGCCATGGGGTGAAGACAAGAGGAGTATCAGAACCAACTCCATCATTATAAAAAGGTAAATTGAGTCTCACTTCAAAACTGCCTGTGTAAAGCATTACAGAATCCTGGACCACTGAATACCACCATTCTCTGTTATCCTGAGTATGTCAATTAAACAGTAATTTTTCATTAAGAGCGGAAAAATTTTATAATACAAAGAAACATCCATATTGCAATTTCTGTTTACAATTGCACACAGAAGTACAGTGTACGTAGGAAATACATGTCTGCATATAACAAGGTATGTACATTGGCAAGTGATGTCTCCAATGTTGAGGTGGTCGAGCCTCCTAGCCTTGATTGGCAGTTGAAAAAAATATATATATATTTCAATTTGTGATAAAAGTTTATCGAGAGCCAAGTTTGCCTGCAAGTGAAGAAAATGCAGCAACGAAGAACAGGGAACACGGGGCACATAATAATATTCTAAGACTTTGTGCCATTAGGTTAAAAATAGCTGTCCATAAGAAAATTGGGTTCCTTTTCCACCCCCCCCACCCCCAAATTGGAATTTTCAGGCTTTAAAATTTAAGTAATTCCACCTGGTCTGAGGACATGATCTCTTGCCATTTTTTCTCCGACTGTTATTTGTGAGGGTTTAGTTTGGGGATGATGATTTAATAGGTGTCTCTTTGGAGTGAAGTTTTCCCATTGTAGGCACTAGGAAGAACCAAGGCAAAAGCTGCAGTTAACGTCTCATGTGTCCCATTTGATAACTCTCCCGGGGCCTCTGACGCTGGGGTTGCTGAATGGGCTGTGGGGGTCTCCTCCTCTTTAAAGTGCCTGCGAATCACAAACAAAAGTAAAACAGATTTACTGGGTGCTTAATCTTAAAAAACAAAGCTGCCAATTCAATAAGAAAGGTTCTAGATCAGCACTATCCAACAGAAATACAAGCCGTAAATGTAATTTTAAATTTTCTGGTAGCCATAATGAAAAAAGTCAAAAAGATAGGCAAAATAATGTTAATAACTTTATTTCACTTAATCCAATATAGGCAAAATATTATCACTTCAAGGTGTAATCAATACAAAAAAGTATTAATGAACTATTTCATTCTTTTTTGTACACCAAGTCTTCCCAGTCTGGTATGTATTTTATATTTACAACACGTCTCAATGTAAACTAGCCACATTTCAAGTGCTCAACAGACATTAACTATTAGATTAATATGAATTCTGAGGACAGAATCCATAAGGAATAAATTACGGAGTCTTTGAGCAAATGACTTAACTTCTCTGAAACTCAGATGCCTAGTCTGTAAAACAGGGATAATGAACTCCTACAGTCTTGTCTATATAATCTGTGAGGGTTATATGACAATTCATGTAAAAGTGCTTTTGGGAAGGGTTCAATGATAGCTAGAGTTTGTCTTTTTTTTTTTTTTAAGTTTTTAAAGGTGGAATTTGCTTAAAGTAAAATCAAGTAAAAAAAATTGTTATACTGCATGAGATCATAATTGCTAACATAGCTAATGAGTGTCATGTGGCCCTTAGAAATCCCTAAGAAATTAATATAAGTTTTACAGTGCTAACACTGTCAATTTACAAAAAGCAGTGACATCAAAATCAAATTTCCTCTGATTCCAACCAAGATGCTGTCCCAAGCATGACTACTGAGCTCTCCTGCCCCAAGATAGGTAAATTCAGGGGAGCAGCTGAGGGAAAAGTTATAAGAAACCCCTAGTTTTAAACTACGCTGTTTAGGGTAGCAGACCTGGCCTGAGGCAAGAGGCTTCATGAGAAGTCTGGGGGAGGCAGGAGAGGGACAGCAGTCCAATCAGCTCTCGTTCTCTGCCACTGTTACAGCACCATGTCTGCCCCACACCTAGAGTGAAGAGTTCTGGGGCGGGCGTTCTGAGGGCAGCACAGAAGCCACAAATAGCTTGGGGAAGGGCGAGGGACAAACAGATGGGAACTAAATAATTTAGTGTAGTTGCTTCCTAACCCTTTTCTTCTCCAAATCCCTGGAGCTAATCTAAAGAAAGCCTCCTCCCAAAGCTGTGTCTCCGTGAGAGGTCAAGGGTGGAGACCAAAGCTCAGGAGTTGTTTTCAGAGATGGAGAGTAAAACTATAGTTCCTTGGTGACTGAAGCCTCTATCTTAAGCCCTTTCCACAGACTGTCATCTCTATTTCCCCACAAGCATCACCCCTAGGGAAAATGAATTTATGTACCAGAAAATATTTCAAGAACACAAACATTAGAAACAAAAGAATCTAGCTATTAGAATAGAAAAATCAATCATTTAGAAGTAGCCTAACATAATAAAAACAAAAAAGGGAAGATTTTAGAATATGAAAAATAAGAAAAAACAGGTATTAAGCAAAAATAAAATTGTCTAAGTCTAAATATTTTTAGTGACTCAAGACAGATTAGCATTAAATTAGCCATTAGATTGGATTGATTAAAAAAGAAATACTTAAAAATCAACTAAATAATTCATCCACTAATCTCATCCTCAAAGAGAAAGTACTATATAATTTGTTACTAAAGACTTAACATTCAATTCTACCTGCTGAACAGTTCCGAGTTATAAAAATACATACCTTGCTCAAACTATCTTACCTGGAAGAGGTTTAGGAGGAGGCAGCTTTGGATTACTACTTGGAGTATGAACACTGCATATCTTAATAAATCCAGCCATTAGCATGATCAGGGCAATTCCCATAAGCAATACTGCCCACCAATAAACCTAGAAATAAACAGATTTTTCTACTGAAAGAACTGTAAAATATTTTAGAATATTTTATATTACATAAAATATATATAATACATTTTAATTTTTGAAGAACATTTGCTCTTTGGGAAGTGTACAGATACCAAATATAAGATTAATTTCTTTAAATATGAGAAGCATAAAGGGGGAAAAAATTGCCCATAATTTCACACCCTAGATGAAACCACTCAATCTTACTTTCCTTTCAGTCTCTTTTCTAGAAACAGCTATGTTGGTCATACACACAGATAAACTCACATGCAAAACTAGGGTCCATCCTGCATATAGTTTATATTGTGTTTCCCAATGTTATTAAGTACTTTCTGGTTTGAATATTTCCCTCTTTTTTTTTCCTATTACTCTTAATAAACTATGTCTGTTTGCTTTCACATTCTTTAATGACTTAGAGGGTATATTACTTGCTTTAAATTTTACTTCTAGGGGCCCCGGGGTAGCTCAATCAGTTGAGCATCTGCCTTCAGCTTGGGTCATGATCCTGGGGTCCTGGGGTCAAGCCCAACATCAGGCTCCCTACTCAGTGGGGAGTCTCCTTCTCCCACTCCCTCTGCTGCTCCCCCTGCTTGTGCATGCGCGCTGTCAAAATAAATAAAAACCTTTAAATAAATTCTACTTCTAGATAAATTTTTAAAATAATCTCGAACTAAATATTTTTTCTAATCAAAGTTAATATCGAAATTCTATCTTTTTTGAGCCCCTCCCTTTTCCTGTTATTCTATTTCATTTGGAATTTAAGCCCCAGACTACTGTTAGGAAATTATTGCCCAAGAAATTCCCATTTAAGATTTTTTATGATAAGGGGTCTTGTAACAATAGCCTACTACTTCTATCCTTTCTTTATCAGCAGCGTATCATAATTAAAGTAATAAAAACTAAAATAAAAATACATGTTGCGGAAAATACCCCAAGCCACTTACTTCATGTGTGCATAAAGCCTTTCATATACATACATATTTTTAAGTTTTATTTAAACTTCATTAAACTTTATTTAATTTAAACTTTATTTAAACTTTATTAAAACTTCTTTTAAAAGAATCTCAAACTTACAGAAAAGCTGCTAGTACAAAGAACTTTTTAAAATCTGGAACTATCTGAGAGTAAAGTGCTAGCTAGCATAATGCCCTGTTATACCTAAACATTTTAGCATATAGTTTCTACAACATAAGGGGTTTTCTAGATAACCACAACACAGTTATCAAAATCAGTAAATGAGCACTGATAAATTACTACCATTTAATCCTCATACCCTAATCAAGTTTTGCCATTTGTCCCAATACCATCCAATCAGAATTATGTGGTGCATTTAGCTGCTGTGTTTCTTCAGTCTCCTACAATCTGGAAAAGGTCCAGTCTTTCCTTGGCTTAAATATAACCTTGACACTTTGGGAGATTATAGGCCAGTTACTTAGTATTGGAATGTCCCTCAATTTGGGTTTCTTGGATGTGACCCTATGAGTAGACTCCGGTCATATATCTTTAGTAAGAAGACCACAGAAGTGATGCTGCATTGTTCTCATTGCATCCTCTCAGGTGACACATGTTTTTGATCTTGTTATTGATGTGTTAACTTGATCACCTGATTAAGGTGTTATATGCCAAACTTCACCATAAGGATACTCTTCTCTTTTTGTAGTCAATGAGTATTTTGTAGGGACATAACTTGAAGCTACGTAGATATCCCGTTCTTCATCAAACTTTCAATTTATTCATTTCATTCATTATTAATCCCTCACGGTTTCCTATTTTATTCAGTGGGTTATAATCTGTTACTATCGTAGTGTGGCTTTTGAACATGTCCCTACCAGTCTTTGAACACTTCGCTTTCTGGCACGATTAGTTCTAGGTTTCTCTTGTTCTTTCCCTGCCCCAGCCCTGGAATCAGCCATTTCTCCAAGGAGCCCTGGTTCCCTTTAGAACTGCCCCTCCTATGTAGACACCCTCCTCCTCCTAACACCTGTACTCGGATATCCCAAGCCAGTTGGCCCTCCACAAGGTGCCCTTCTCACCCTGCTTGGGCTTTAACAACACCTCATATTCGTCTTCTTCCCCATTCCATACCCTCCCTACTCTGCTCAGGCTCTAACACCCTGCTCTGTGCCACGACAGCTTCCCCCACCTGGCACGGATGGCCTACCTTACTTGGCCACACCGAATGGCTTTAGGAATATACTGTTCAGGAAGGGAGAAGGTAAGATACAATGCAATTCAGCCTAATTACTGAAAGATTTGACTTTTCCAAAGCTAACAAATCTCAATTTTTATGTGAAATCTATTTTTAAATGCTGGTACCTCACTCAAAATTTCTAAAAACAATGCACAGACCATACAAGACCTGTTTACAGAGCTGAATCTTGCTTGGAAACCACAAGTTTACAATCTACTTTTCAGAGGCCACTTCTTGTATCTTGCTGAGGATTGCCAGAGAATCTTCTAAAATTTTTTGTTTCCTTTTTTTTTTTTAAAGATTTTATTTATTTATCTGAGACAGAGAGAATGAGAGAGAGAACACGAGAGGAGAGAGGGTCAGAGGCAGAAGCAGACTCCCTGCTAAGCAGGGAGCCCGATGTGGGACTCCATCCTGGGACTCCAGGATCATGACCTGAGCTGAAGGCAGTCGCTTAACCAACTGAGCCATGAGCCACCCAGGTGCCCCCAAAATTTTCTTTTGTTTTCTACAGAAAATAATTTTCAGAGCATTGCTCTCCCTGGGAGTCTTTAGGATATTTCCTTTCCTTGTTACATAAACTTTCCATAGTCTACATGCACAGCTTCTGTCCTGTTCCTAGCATCCAGAGACCTTTTAAATATGGCACTTAATGAAGTAGGACCTGCTTCTCCCTCCACTGTCTGCATTTTTGACACTCTGACCTAGTAAAATACATAAAGAACTAAAATCACCAGTTTGTAGTACTACAAGTGTTCTTCCTGCTCTATACCAGTGGTTCTCCTTAGCTGCACATTAGAATCACCTAGAAAGCTTTTAAAACTCAAGATACCCAGACCAAATCCCAGACCCAGATGGGGTGGCAGAGGGACTATGACATCAGTAATTTTATTAAAACTGCACAGGTTATTCCATTATGCAGCCAAGACTGAGAACCACGTTCTCAAACGTTTTCTATAAAGGGCCAACCAACAAATATTTTGGACTTGTCTCTGTTAAGCTACTCATTTCTGCCATTCTAGAACAAAACCCACCATAGATAACAGGCAAACAAATGAGTGTGACCATATTTTTTTTTTTCCCAAAAAAACATTATTTACAAAAACAGGAGCAGATTGGATTTGACCCTTGGGCTGTGGTCCCTCAACCCCTGTTCTATACCCACATATAGGACATTAGTTTGGAGCCTATACCTAAATGGATACCATCTAACACTAACTCTTCAGTTCTAAATCTCTATCCTAACTACCTGCCTGAGAATCTAGGGGGAAGCTGAGAATATATGATGACTGGCTGTAGAAGGAGAGTCCTATGACTGGGAAAATAGCTCAAATAGTCAGCACTCACATGATAAAGGTATGGTTCCTATCACTGAGTAGATCTAAGAATTCTCTGATATGCTTATTAAAACACAGATTCTCAGGCCAAAACCCTACAAATTCCAATTCAGCTGTTCTGGTGGAGGGCCCAAGAAACTGCATCTTAAACAAGCAAACCAATGATGAGGATGTAGATGAGTGCCTCTTACTCAGTGTAGATAGACATGCTGACACTGTGGTATGAAACCACTCAGGAAACACAGGAAATTTAGCATCCCTGGCCCTCATACATCAAATGCCGGTAGAGCCCTTCAGTTACTTTGATAACTACTGTACATTCTCAAATATCCTCTGGGAAGGAAGTATCACCTCCAATGTGATCCAATCCATAAGCACAAAGAATCAATGGTTTTCCTACTGTCAGGCTGATGTGCTAGCTACATCACATCTATTCCTAAAGTCCATTATATTCTCTAACACATTTCCTTCCTTCTAGTCTTCTCTGCTCAAAACCATCTTCCCCATGGTCATCAATGTTACAACTACCTAAAATACGGAACTCACTATGCCATTCCTCTATGTAAAACCCTTCTTTAAAAGCTTCTCCTTTTCTCCTTTCTCTAAAACCATTAAGCAGGAGAGAAGAAAAAATAAAACCTGAGCACAATAAAGTATGGCAAAGTACATATATGATTTCACTTTAAAAAAATATATATGTGGGGGGGGGCCTGGTGGCACAGTTGGTTGGGCAACCAACTCTTGGTTTCAGCTCAGGTTGTGGTCTCAGGGATGAGATCGAGCCCCATGTCAGACGTGTACTCAGCACAGGGTCTACTTGGGATTCTCTTTCCCTCTCCCTCTGCCCCTCCTGCTGGTGCTAAGATAAATAAATAGATTTAAATATAGATATACATATATATATGCACATATATGTATATATGTATGTATACGTATATATATATATATATGGGCACTAATCGGTTGGGCATCCGACTCTTGGTTTCAGCTCAGGTCATGATCTCAGGATCATGAGATCGAGCCCAATGTTGGGCTCTGCGCTGGGTGTGGAGCCTGCTTAAGAGTCTCTCTCTCTCTCTCTCTCTCCCCCCCTCCCCACCCACTCAGCTCTCTTTCTCTCTAAAAAATAAAGAAATAGATATATTCTTGTAATGGTATAGATAGTTTCTGAAGAATATACCAAAAAAATCATCTTGAGAAGACTGGGCTTCAGGGGAAAAAGGTGGCTTATTTTTCAATGCATTACTTTGTCATTTAAAAGAAAGGATAATTACATTTTCAAAAGGAAAAAAAGTAAAAACAAAAGTTTTTATTTAAAAAATTCATACATATGTGACTTTTTAGATGCTCTCTATTCATAAAACATCCATCTGTACGCTCTATTTCTAGTCCTTAAGAATTTAGTTTTGGTATCACCTCCTTAAAGAGGTATTCCCTAAATAGGTCTTCCCTAATTT